CTGACATCTCAGGGAACTAATTAAAACCGTTTGTTTTGATTTCACCAAAAATAGAGTCCTGACAAAAACAGCTGTGTTTTGCCTTTTTTTCTGTCTCTCTCTCTCTCTTTCCTTTCTTTGGTTGATGAAACATGTTGAGGCCCGTTGTCTCATTGTGCACAGCGAGAAGTGCAAAAATCCCCCCCGTTCGGTCATAAATTAGTATTCATTAGTCTTGTTGTGGCTTTCTGGGTGTTTTCTTTCATGTGCAGGATGGCACACATCATCAAACGGTGTACTTTTTACCCCCACAAGATTTATCTGACAGCTTCACGGTTTTGCTGCTTCAAGAGGAAGAGTGCACGTGTAACAGAGCAGTTTTTATTTCCTGCTACTAAAGTGGGAGTTCACGTCTTCCAAAGCGGGGTCTTGTGAGCACATTAGCAATCGTCAACATCTTACTTGCGGTAGATAGCCTTTTGAATGACCTCAGGTTGGAGAAAATCTGCTTTCATGTCTTTTATCTTCTAAATAAGATCTGGGAAACTGTCAATTCTGGTTTAATGTTTACAGTAGCTGCTGATCAGAGAAACAGTAGCTGATTCTATTAGCGATAGAAGCGATRACAGTTTGGCCCTTTTCTCTCTTCTCTGGATTCAAACACTTTAGCAGTTGATTTATTGAGTAACAATTTAAAAAAAAGTGAAAATATAAGTTACTGTCACAACTTTTCATGAGAGCCATGTTGGATTTTGAGGTTGGAGCTAATCGGGAATGTCTGACAGAAATCGGATGTTGGTATTGGCGTTTCAGATTTTCAGCTCCAAAATCCCATCTTTTTACCAACAAATGGAACATACAGTCTGATTGATGAGCTAATAGGTAATCTGAGCCGGGTCAAGACCAAAGTGAACATTGAGTTTTGTTGGCTTTACAAGCACTGTAGCAGTAGGGTCTTTCTATCAGAAACCTTTTCTATTTCAGGATGATGTAAAATTGCCCAAATCTTCACTAAAAATTTTTGGAATTTGAGTTATTTGGAGATGTCAGCGGTCCACTTTGGATTTGGCTCTGCCTAAACATAAATTATTAGTCCAGTCAGCATCAAATTATTGTTCCAAATCATGTCATTCAAAGGGTCATCTACAACAGGTAGGATATTAATTGTTCAWAACTGTTCAATAGATCACCACTTCAYAATATCTGAACTATTCCTTTAACCACTAACTAAAACCCAAGGAARAATTTGTGAGTTAAAACTGTGACAAAAAGCTGTAAGCTCTCTTTTTTTAAGTGTGTGTTGCATTTAATACAACTCAGTTCATTGTGGAACTGGTGAGGAAGTAGATGAGGGGACCCCGACACATACCTGATTGTTAACAGATTGTGCAAGAGCTTTGTTTAAAATTTTGTCACATTACCTATTTGAAGTCAACTCTGTCTGTCTGTTAGCAAAATATCCCACAAACCACTGCAAAGATTTTAGAGAAACTTTCAGGAAACCGTCGTTGGTTGTATCTCTAAAACTAGTTAACTTTTGGAGACAACTCAATTCAAGATGGCTGCTGCAGCCAACTGATCTTAGAAAACACAAAAATGACTACAATTCAATCAGTTTTGCATGCACTGTGCTAAGACTTGGGGTGGTTAAAGCTTAGAGTCACTCACCTTATTTAGTTTAAGTGTTTAAAATGTTGAAGATCTTTGCAGGCTACAGCTTCCGCTGTTGGAGTCAACCCTGTTTCTCTGTTGGCAAAATATCTCATYATCCACCGGACTAATCATAATGAAGCTTTTAGAGAGTGAAAAAATGGATGTAACTCAACTGATTATATTTTTGATGCAATCCAATTCTAGATGGCCGCCACAGCTAATCTTAGRCAGCACACTTGGTTTTACAGATATTGAGCTAAAATTCTAATTAATTTAATTTAAAGCTGAGAGTCCCTGCATGAGTCTGAAACTCAAAGGTTGCGGGTCACGTGCTTTCATTCAAGATCAGTTAAAGGTAAGTTGAAGAAACGGGGATAAAATAAAATGAAATAAAATAAAATAAAAACACAGCCCTGCACCAGTATTTATCAGTATTTGGATTGTCCTTTTTCTCCAGTCCTCCTGTGTTCAAGCCTAGCTGCTCCTTGCACATGTGGTGCAGAGAGGGGTGAGGAAGCACCTGCTTTGCAAGGAGGTGGAGGGGGAAAGAAGCTCTCATGAAGACTGGAGAGGTTGGCCCCGAGCCTTGCGCAGAGAGGTTGGGTTATACCCAGAGAGTGGCGCACAGACTCGTAGTGGTGCAGCTTTGCGGTTTGGGGGACCAAGGAAAACACAAATAAAGAATGGATTTTCTTTTGTAGTGAAGGGGCTGTTAATGTTTCAGTGTTTTTAATGTTAGGGTGGGTTGTTTTTCCTGCCACTGGAGTGGCGACCACAAACAGGAGCGCAGCACCCGCAGCCATTGCGCACAGACTCCTGGACTTGGCTCGTGCTGTGACKGGATGAGATCTTTCAGGGGCATCGGTTTGGAACTCCGTTAGTTGCAAAAGTAGACGAGAGAAAAAAAAAGTTGGTCTGAAAGTGCGCGTGAAGTGGCGCAAACTGGTGCGCGTAAAAAGAAGAAGGGGATGCCAGCCAGGCCAGGCGTGGCTTGTCTCTGAATGTCCAATGTGAGGGCGCGTGGGGAGGATGTATATATTAGAGTCCTGTCGTTTGATAAACACACATATCAAACTCATGATTACAGCAGAGGACTATCTATAACCTGACAAAGAGGTTTTTTTTTCTTTTTTTTCCCTTTTTGGAGGAGTACCTACTGCTGCGCGCTCTGGATATTGTTTTATTTTATTTTTTATACTTTTTTTTTTTTAGCCTGAATGGATCAGACTTCTTCTTGTGTAAACTTTCTAACTCACTCCATATCCACCTGAAAATGCCTTCGCTGAATTTGACAGCTGTGCACACCATGGCGGAGGTGGGCACGTTCCTGGGGACGCACGACTTGGATTTCCAGAGCTTTCCTTCGCTGGGGAACAGCATGCCTCTGCCGGAGCCCCCCGTGGGGCTGAGCGAGCGGCTGGGCCAGAATGAAGGCAGGCTGCAGCAGGGGTCCCCCACAGACTTCGGCCACCTTAAAGGGATCCTCAGGCGGCGGCAGCTCTACTGCAGGGCCGGCTTCCACCTGGAGATCCTGCCCAACGGCACCGTGCACGGCACGAGACAGGACCACAGCAGGTTTGGTGAGAGACTTTACTCATCCTGCAGCTGGATGGTTCTGTGTGTTAGGGACTGATCTGTACTCCAAAATGAGCTCCTATAAGCAGATATGTAAAATATGACCCTGTATTACACTCCAAAACGCAGGCAAAGTGAATTTAATTAAGAAGCGCCGAGAAGTATGGCAATCCAATTTATCATATAATAGACAAGCTCCTCGAAGAATGCCATTTGTCATGTTTAGTTATTTCAAGCACCATTCTTCCCAAAACCAAACTAACTTTACCCGCAGCTCCAGATATCCTTGTGGATTTTTCTCATCTAGAATGAACGCCGACCAAAAGAAAAAGAAAAAAACCTACTTTGGTTTATTGAGTGAGTTTAAAATATTAATTTACCTTCATGATATAGGGTCTTTTGAATTTTCCTATATTATTAAAAGCCCTTTCTCTAGTTTCAGTATTTCCGTCTACTTTTTCCAGCTATCAGTTTAGTTTTATTTTGGAAAATCACAAACTAATCCAGATATTCCTTTTTTATAGGGAGGGGAAAAAATCATTAAAACTCATAAAGATGTCAATAGGAAATTTCAAAATTCATAATATGACTAATTAAATAGAGATTGAATTAATGACAGGGAATTTATTTCTCTCCAATGATATTTTAGGTATTAAATCACATCTTTACATGAAATGTAATGTTTAACATGAAACATATCACATAAAACGTTGTATTGTAGATTATGTTAGGCTTATTTTGGTGAGAATTTTACTGTAGAAACCTCAAATGTTTAATCTGGATTAAATGATGCGCTGGGGTAGGTCTATGTTGAGCTGTCTTATGCCTGGCATGTATATATATATATATATATATATTTTTTTTATCAGGAATAGTAAAATTATGCATATCTGCAACACATCAACAATTAAAGAACAATAAAACAATTTAAGAATTTTGGGATTTTGATGTATAGCTACATGCTCACCTTGAATTATGATGTTTTGAAGCACCAGAYTCATTTAAATACATTTAAGTTCTGTACAGTAAGGATGTTTTTTTTTGACAAAGATGAAGACTTTAAAAACATCAAAATTTTAGACAGTCGTAAAGTTTAATTCTATGTTACAACTGCCAGCCACAGCCAGTACGCCACACTCTAAAAATGAAATGTTGGATTTACTTAACCATGTTATGTTACCTGATTCCACTTAACTGAGTTGAGTAAATTCAAAGCAACATATTCATGTTCTTTGGCTAAAAAACTGGTATATTTCTTTGAATTTACTCAACTCTATTACCTAATTTCTCTCTGGGATCAATAAAGTATTTTTGAATTGAATTTTGAACTCAGTTAAGTGGAACCAGGTAACATAACATGGTTAAGTAAATCCAACATTTCATTTTTTACAGTGCAGGTGAATGACCTCGCGCGTGGGACGCAGGTGTCTCTCCTCGCAGCCACAAACACGACAAACCCGCACATGCACGCGCATCTCTCTGATATCTGTCCATTGTCGCACGCTCATTGGCCATGTCGTCATCACACGTTGCCATTCAGCATACACCGACCCCAAGTGTCACCTGTAGGGGTAAAAAGAAGAAACTACAACGGTTTTGTTGTGGGAGAAGGAGAGGCTGAAGGAGCGGGGGGGGTCAAAGGTCAGACGGGGGGCGCGCGCCTCGGCGCCGCATATATAGGCTGGTCCCGTGTCACAGGTGCAGGCCGGCTCGCCCGCTGCGGAAACAAATAACTCAGAATTAAAGCGTGACCGCTGCGGAATCCAGAGGTTTAATGTTCAGGCTCCAGCCTCAGGAAAAAAAAAAAAAAAACAGGGATGGGTGGTCTACGAGTGTTTGTCTCTGACTTCACATACAGCTTTAACAAAAAATGCAAGGTCTATGTCAGACGTGGCTTTGATTAGAGGGACATGAAACACACTCTTCAACCTCAGCAAAGAGAGAGAGAGAGAAAAAAGAAATTACAGAGGGGGGTCTTCTCTGTCGGCCTCTGGCATCTGATGAGTTGGAGGAGATGGAGACCAGGTGGCTGGAAGCTGGATTCTGTCTGACTAACTCCTGCATCACCACTGCCACTGGCTTTTAATTCCACCACTTGTTTCCTCTGCCTTTGAAGTCCAACTTTACTGTCACTTCCTGAAAACAAGTCAGCCACCTCTCAGCTCCAATAAAGCGTCCTCCACCGGCTGGAGCAGCCGCCGCCGGGGAACTCGCTTCTCCTCTGAAGACGTCTTGAACAGCTGCTGAGCAGAATACAACAAACGAGAAAGTTTCGGAAAGCTGCCCTTTGTAACAATCTAAACTAAGAACAAAAAGTCTACATGACATGAATGTTAGAGCTGCTGGTCTCCCTATTGTAAGCATATGCGTGTTTGGAAGACATAAGCAGACTGAAAAATAAGCCTCAAACAAACAGTTGCTGAGAGAAAACTAAATGGGATTGAACAGATTGAGTGGCAGAACAGTAAATGCACTAAAAACTGCAGGGTTAAAAAGAACCCGATTTTGGATCAAGCCAACCTTGGGTTGCTTTAAATCAGCAGTTTGACCCGACGTACCGGGTCAAGTTTTAGTCTTTTTGATTTGTGAGAAAACTGTAAGTCCCACAGCCACGACAGACCTGCTTAAAACAAGACAAAATCTACATGRTTCGATGTACAATTTGTTAATGGATCTAAAATACTTCACTAATACTTTTCTTATCAGTGAAATTCATTTTATCCGTTCAGTATTTTTTTTGTTAAAGCATCTTAACTTTTTTTTCCCAAGTACTTTGGGTATGACATCATCAACTTGTAATCTGAAAATTAGAAAACTGTTCAAAAATCCCCCCAAAAGCTACAAAGTTCCAACGAGTGCTGAGTTCTCTTACAGGTTTAGCTAAAATCCCATCGATTGTCATTGTTTTTTACTCCATGACCACCTGTAGCTGCTTCCTCGGGGGGTCCTTACGGTGTGCTCTGGGGTCTTTTCCTGACTCSCTCTGTGTGTGTGTGTTTTGACCTCAGGTATCCTGGAGTTCATCAGCCTGGCAGTGGGTCTTGTCAGCATCAGGGGGGTGGACGCTGGACTCTACCTGGGCATGAACGAGAAAGGAGAGCTCTACGGGTCGGTGAGTCAACCCCCCTCCCCCCAGTTTGGTTTTAATCTCTGTTGGTGGAGGTCTCAATCCCAACACACCTGCCACTCAAAGCTCATTTTATACAAACTGTAGTCACTCCTTGAAAAACAGAACTTCCTTTCTCTTCAGTTTTTCTCTGTGAGTTTGTTATCAGGGTTGTTATCCCTGTGGCAGCTGGGAAACCACAGTGAGACTAAACAAGTGTTTGTTTCTTATTCTTCAAGGGAAAGCAATTTTTCCAGGCCAAAAAAAAAAAAAAAAAAAAAGAAGAGGAAAAAGCCAGTGTCTACATCTAGTTTGAAGATATGTAGATATTTACATATTTTCACGTGGAGGATGTGATGGATAAGAATTTATATGTTTAATACCTTTTTTTTTCTTCTTACATCCTTGTTGAGTTTTTCACATGTGGAGACAAGAGAGATAGGGAGAGAGAGAAAAGGAAGAGATAAAAACAATGAAAGGGGAAGTAGGGAAGTGCAGACCTGTATCAGGTGTCCCGGGGCACTTACCTGGGGGAGGGGGGGGCGGGCTCGATGCCTCTGGCTCTGAACGTTTTTCCGACAGAGGCCACTTTTAGGCAGCCCATTATGTTGGGAGTGCAGATATTGTTACGGCGCGTTATCAGAGTCTGGCATCCTGGAGCTTTGACCCTGACATGAAGGGGGCTGGGTGGGTGGGAGGAGGTGGTGATTTATTTTTTTTTTGTTTTTGTTTTTAGGGTTGGGGAGCGGGGTTGGGAGGGGGGTATAATTGCACACCTGAATGAGTCATCTGACTGACAGAGATGTAGACATGTCTGTCTGAAGCTGAGGGGGCCAGGGGGCGGAGAGAGGGGTGCTTCCTCCCCAGAATTGCCAGACCTTGACAAGTTTTTGATTTGATGAGGCGTCTGTGTGTGTGTGTGTGTGTGTGTGTGTGTGTGTGTGTGTGTGTGTG